ATTAGTAGTATTATCTTTTAAAGGGTAGACTTCCAGAATAGAAGGACTGTTTCTAAAAAATAACAAAATTCTGTTCATCTTGATATTAACTTCTAGGTTTTTCACTTGCCATCTTCAAGTTTTTTTCTCTGAGCCTCGATTTTCTAGCCTATAAAATGTAAGTACTAATGTATACTTCTTAGTTTATGAACAGGATGTTTATTTCTAAATCTGGAATAAACACTAAGTATATGACACTGTTATGGAAGGAGACGGCAAGTGACACACAGAGAGGCAGCAGAATGGAAGTAAAATAAAAAAGTTTACTGCGTGGATGGGGATCGATCACACCTAATGGCGGTGCCCTAATTGACTCTTCCATTGGGCTACAACTCTTACTTTTATAGGGTTTTACAGCTTTGATCTTACTCAGTTGGTTACATTGCATTTTCACAGATACCCAAAACTTGATGGCAAGGCAGTTGAATTTCAACCCAGATGCAGTTCTTTGTTAGGGAAGTTACCTTTTAGATTCATTCAATTGCCTACTCTAGCCAGGGGGAAGGGAGCTTGTTTGATTAACAAAGCTAACAGTGTTTCCTTTCACTTACAAACTTTTGTGAGGGGACTAGGTGTCTCCCGGTACAGGTTAATTCTGAACTAAGCAGGGTGTGGGGCAGAAGTTATCTTATGTTGTGACATTTCCTAAATTTTCGCTCATTAAGGTTTTCCCTATCAACACAAAAGGTAGTGTTTTCCTGGGTTCAGTCATCAGTAGCAAATACTATACTGAATATGGGAGATGTGGGACTGTTGGAAGAGTGAGACCCACAAATGTTAGTAGCCAGTGACTGGCAGTGAGAACGGCTGCTGACTGTAAACATTCCCCATGGTCATCATGACATCTGTCCCCCGAGTGTCAGCCTGTGTCGTAGGTGTCTAGCAGTCTTTGTTTAATGTATGTTGTTTTGCAAGGTAATCCATTGGGTCTCTTGGTTAAATTAATGTCCCCTCCCCTGAAATAATCAGGAAAAGAATCATCTTTGATGATGATGTGGGTCTGGACTTCATGCCTTGACTCCTGTCCCAAAGGTTTTCTTTCCTTTTGAGGACCTTGCTACTTACTGCTGCCAGCATTGTGATAGCTCTTTGGGAGCTCTGTGTTCTTTTTTCCATCACCCTTCATCTGGAAACATGTGTTTAATTCCCTCCAGAAGATAGAATTTATGATTTCTCCCAAAACTCTGGAAGTCCCATAAAATTGACCACAAGAGATAACAGGCCTAGACCCATCCCTAGTGGGCCCCTACAGAGTTGCCTGTCAGACCACCAGGCCCCCACCTCCAGAAGTGACTGCGGTTAGCACAAGTAGACAGAGAATCTAGACATCAGAGAGACCGAGGCCCTGGTCCCTGGAAGCTGGGGGTGGGGTGGAGGTTTTCTTTCTTCCTTCTGCCAAGACTTTCCTTGCCAGTTCCCATTTCTTATCTCAGAATCTGCCTCTTCCCTGGCTGACAGAGGTCCAGACCTCATGCCAAGACTTTCCTTGCCAGTTCCCATTTCTTATCTCAGAATCTGCCTCTTCCCTGGCTGACAGTGAGAGGCCCAGACCTCACCCCTTTCCTCATGGAGGCGATGGCAACAGCCACAGCCATCAAAAAACCTCTTACTAACAAAAAAGATCCCCATACAATCCTAGGGCAGAGGTGGCTTAGTTTAACCACACTGGACATTTACTGATGTGGTGAAGAGTCTTCAGGAAGTTATGTCATGTGGATTTTCTCTACTAGCAGATTAAGGAGATACTCCTGAACTTTAGGAGTTTTATTAGAGAAAGTCAGGGAACACAGGAATCTTGAGTCTGGTCTTGGTTTTACTGCCTATTTGTGTGACCTAGAATATATCAGACTTCTTCCTAGGGGAATCCTCATTCTCTTAGCTATTAAATGAATTTGACCATAACATGATTTTTTAAGATCCTTGTCAATCAAGAAGTCTAAATATCAGTGATGATCTAAATATCTTTTAGAGCTTTCAAAGATATGAACAGCCCGCTGCGGCATGGCATGCCTGCTGTAGGTTCACCACCACTGACTGATATTAGCTTCTAAAAGTACCTAGTATAATTTGTTGAACAGATTCACTTTGTCCATATCTGCTAATGGTGCTTACCCCTCTTAACATTGACTTGGCCAGTGTGGCTGTAGCTGTTTTGTGGAGACCCAGGCATCTCTCTGGAAAAGGCCCCTCTGCCCATTATTTAATACTATGATACTCTCCTGGTGTGCTTTTGAAGTGCTGACGTAGTCTTGTCTTCTGATGACAGGACCAGCTCAACAAATCTCCTCTGTGAGTGTGGTCCATTGTAGGCCTGAATATTAGTGATGATATCATTTCTATTTAAAATGTAGAAGGTGGGCATGGTGGCACATGCTTGTAATCCCAGCACTCAGGAGGCTAAGGGAGGAGTGTCACCTTGAGTTCAAGATCAGCCTGAACTACATAATGAGACCCTGTCTCAAAAAAAAACAAAAAATAAAATGTAGACTCTTCTGTTTATCCAAATGAATTTAATTATTTCTGGGTTGTGATGTTGAATATATTCTCTTATAGGTCACATATAAGGAATTATTGGTAACCTTAAGGTTTATTTAAAGAGAAAATGTATATAGACTTTCTACTGCAAAAAGCACCATTGAAGTTTTAATATGAATTGAATTGAATCTGTATATTGTTTGGGTAGTACTGACATCTTAACAATAAAGAACCATGGTCTTATCTATGAACTCAAATTGTCTTTCTGTTTATTAGACTCTTCCTTAATGTCTTCCATCCCTGTTTTGTAACATTCTGTGTACAACCCTTTTACTTCCTTAGTTGTTTTTTAATAAATATTTTATTCTTTTAGACTCTGATATAAATTGATTTAGTATTTTAATTCCTTTTTCCACTTACTCATTGTGAGTGTATAGGCATGCAATTGATTTTTTGTGTTGATTTTGTATCCTGCACTTTGCTGAATTTATTTATTCTAACAGATGTATGCATGTTCATGTGTACATATGCGATCATGTCATCTGCAAACAGGGATAAGTTTACTTCTTTCTAGTTGAATGCTTGTTCTTTCTAAGAAGGTGTTAGAATAGCTGTCTTGTCTTTTTCCTGATCTTAGAAGAAAAACTTCCAGTCATTTATCTTTGAGTATAATATTAACTGTGAGCTTTTCATGTATTGTTTTATTATGTTGAGTTTCCTTCTGTTCCTATTTTGTTGAGCATTTTTATCATGAGAAGGTGGTGAATTTTGTTCTGTGCTTTTTTAGCATCGATTGAGATGATCACGCAGGATTTTTCTCCTTTCTGTTAATGTGATATATTACATTGATTGATTTTCATATATTGAATCATCTTTGCATTCCAAGAATAAATCCTACACAGTCCTGGTCTATAATCCATTTAATATGCTATTGCATTTGATTTACTAGTATTTGGCAGAGGATCTTTTTGTTTTAGTATGCATAAGGGGTAAAGGATATAGCTCGGTGATAGAGCACTTGCCTAGCTTGCTGAAGGCCTGGGTTCAGACCCCAGCACCAGTGCACAGACACATACACACACATACACACAACACCCCCTGCCTAACACAGGCCAGAAATGATCAGGGTGGTGCTGTTCTCACAGGTTGAGCTCAGAGGTTTTCCCTCCTTTATAGTATTTTTGAAGAGCTTGAGCTGGATATAAGTTAAGTCTTCTTTGAGTGTTTCATAGAATTCATCATTAGAGTTTGTTATGAAGCATTTAAAAATTAATCAGTCACCTTTTTACTTACAGATATGTTCAGATTTTCCATTTCTTCATGACACAGTCTTGGTAGGGAGCATGCTTTTAGAAATTTGACCAGTGTGTCTAGGGTATCTACCTTCTTTCCATTTAATTTTGTTCTCCAGTAATCCTTTTCATTTCTGTACAATCAATAGTCATGTTCTTTCTTTCATTTCTGATTTTAGTTATTGCAGGTTTTTTCTCTTTTTCTTAGTCTAACTGGAGATTTTTCAATGTTATTGATCTTTTCAAAGAACCAATTCAGTTTTCTTGACTTTTCTTGGAGGTTGACTTTTGTGTCTCTTTTATGTAAGTCATCATTTCATTAAACAAATCGATATTATAGATTAGTTTTGTATTGGACTTCTGTGTTATGTTTTTTAGTTTGGCAGTGAAAAAGACTCCCCTGCTGTACATATCTGGGTATATGAAAAGTTTAAATAAAAATTACTTTAAAATAATAAACTTGAATGTCTCTGCCATTTCTTTTTCTTTCTGGAGTTGTGCCTTGGCCACTCTGTGTTGTAGTTCACTCTTATAATTTGTTGCATTAAATGCCTCTCATGAGTAGTTAATGAAATGTCTCATGATTTGATTCTCAACTGGAAAGTTTCTTATATTTTTCTTCATACTGAGCTGTTAAAAGTTAAGGTGAGATTAATTTTTATTATTATATTAAATGAAAAGTCAGTAATATTCATAGCAATGGGTGAATTTAGGAAGGAAAAGTTAGGGGATCGAGCATTAAAATTTCTGACTTGAGAAGTCATAGTCTCTCCCCAACTTATTCCCGTAAGTAAAAATTTTGGCACATACTGTAGTTTGTCAAGTGGCCTTCTCTGAGATTATCAGCCACGGGTAGTTTCAATGTTATTTGCACGAATATGCCACACAAAACAATTTCTTCACTTCTTACATGCAGAAGTTGAGAGTTTTATTCAGGAGACTTCAATACTTTAATTTCTTCTTTTCCTCTTCTTCCCCTATAATCTTTGCAATCAGAATGTCTAGTTATATTTAATTTAATTAAAAAATTATTTTGCTATACTGGGGATTAGTTGCAGAGCCTAACTCATGCTAGGCAGGTGCTTTACCACTGAGCTATATCCACAGCCCTATGTTGTATTTTTAAAATTATTTGAATGACAAATAATTATATTCCAATGATTATGTGATACATTTATGCCTTGTATACAAATTAAAAATATAGACTACTTTAAACTTAAAAAAGTGTGTCATACTTGTGCATAGGCTATGTTGATCCTTTCTGTAGCATACTGATTTATATGTGCTGCCAAAGCAAGCACTTTCATTTCTTCTTGATAGTCCTTTTCCTTAATTCTTTTGGACCAGATACATTTTATCTCAGAGGCATGAAGAAGACCTGCCTTTTATAGTGCAGTGTCCTTGTTTCTTTAATTATCCCAAAACTTACCTGTAGTTTCTATTTGTGAATTAAGTCACATTTCTTTAAGAGATTGCAATCAAAGTTTGCATGGGTTTATTCATTTGTTACTATCTGATTACTACTGATGATCGCTCATTTAATGAGCAAGATGTTTCTTATACAACTCATTTATATTTTCTTATACAACTAATTTCCTTGATTCAACACCTTTTCACGTTTAAAATTTTTGAAATTCAGTGTATCTTGCAATTGCTACTGTTTTATAGTTCTTATTGCCAACATTTAAAATTTTATTCTTAAGTTCATAACACAGTGGTGCATCTTTCGGTCAGTAGCAATTAGAACCATGCTTGGTGTTGTACACCTGTAATTTCAGCACTTGGGAGGCTGAGGCAGGGGGATTGCTGCAAGCCTGAGTTACATAGTGAGTTCAAGGCCAGCCTAACTACAAAGCAAGACCCTGTTTCAAACAAACAAAAAACAAAACAACAAAAAATAGCAGTTAGATTTGATGAAACAAGTTACTATGAATGATCATTGTAATAATAATTGTAATAATGACTACTAGAATCTTACTGTGAACATTTTTTACAGTAGAGCCTGTAAATGACAATGTAGTTGTTTTACAGATGCTTAGAATGGAAGAAAATCACCTCCAAGTGCTAATCCAATGTACTTAAGTGTTTTTTGTATGTTCACTGTAGTTCTTTTAAAAAATATGTATACATGGTTATTTGGTTGTGTATGTCCTATTTTGCTCTTCTTAGTTTTTACTGTTGTATTTTAATTTCTCTATGTTGCAGGACTTCTTATATGTCATTTTAATAGCCCCATAATCTATCCAGTAGGTGACCATAGTGCAGCTGCATGTTGCCCAGCTGTTGAAAGTTTTGCTGCCATTTTTCCTATTTGAAAATAGGAATACTTCTTTCCTATAAAATTTAATTGTTAATTTTGACCATTTTCTTTATGAAATATAACTTTTGTAGAAGCCACCTGAACTTTCTTTTTTTGTTGTTTTTTTGAGATAGGGTCTCACTATGTAGTTGGGACTGAACTGGAACTATGTAGACCAGGCTGTTCTCACACTCACAGAGATCCTCCTTCCTCAGCCTCCCAAGTGCTGGGATTATAGGCATGTGCCACCACACCCGGTTTACCTGAACTGTTTTATTCCTAAGAGCCAACTTTTATTTTTAGATAAATCACTAAGTAAGTAGTTAGTATTATAGTATTGTTCATTTGTACTTTCATTCAGCTGCCCAACTACAATACATTGGATCATTATGTGTTTGGTAGATGCTGAGAGCCAAACATTATCTGGCAGTCTAGTGGGAGATTCAAAGATTTGTCAAAAATACATACTATAGGGCCATAGGGGGTGTTGGAAAGATAAGGCTTGAATTCCCCTGTTGCTTAAAATTGACTTTGACAGTTTTGCTGATTTACTTATCTTTTAAGATATGATGAGGTATGGATATTTCGTGCTCTGTAATATTTTAAAAATGTGTATATCAGGTAGGTATGGTGGCATATGCTATAGTACTAGCTAGTCAGGAGGCTAAAGTAGGAGGAGCTCTTGAGCCCAAGTTTGAGGTCAACCTGGGCAATTATAGCAAGACCTGCCCTCAAAAACAAACAATCCCTCCCCACCCAGCGTCCCCCCCAAAATAGTGTATAATAGGTTTATTTGGCAGAAAATGCCCCCATCAGACCTAGTCTTTTCCTTCATGTCTTAGCCTGGTCCTGTGAGGTCTGTGGTCCAGTGACCTTCCCTAATTTCATGTATTATGTTTGTTCAACATTTCCAAGCCTCCTGTTGCAAGTAATTGTGTCTGTCGCCTGCCTCTTTCGTGGTTCACAGACAGCTGTGTTGAAGGTAGTAGATGATTCATTTGACTTCAGTTACTTTTTTTCTTCAATGAATGATATTATCTCACCATTTTGTACTTTGCATACTACTTTATTTGACTATTGTTTACATTCTATGATGCTGGTGAAATTAGTGCTGGTTTAACGTTATCTTGTCATATATGTTTACTTAAAATTTCAGTTTAAGAAGACGTTTATATAATCCAATAGAGATTCTTATGGTGACAGTTTAAAATTCTGCTACTAATGATGCTTGAAAGTAGACCTCTCACAGGGCAAAATAAACAGCTTTATAAATTTTAGAAGAATCTCTTAAACCTCAGAGAAGGAGAAAATATTTCTATATAATTATTAATTCTGGCTTTGGTACAATGAATCTGTTTTGAAAATAACCATTTAGGGTTCCACCACATAACTCACTTGAAAACTCTTATTGCAGCCACTGTTCGATCGTCCAAGGGACCCGACAGCACAGGAGAGTGTATAGTGAAAATGGTCTGTCATTCGATGGGACTTGAAGTAGTGTTTACATTGCCAACTGAAATAAAATCAATTTTCCCTCCATGGTGATTTGTAACCTGACTTCTATGACTGTGAGATTGATCTTTTGGCAGATCTTTATGAGATAACACCACAAGAAGGCAAATTACATGTATGCATTAAGTTTTGTATTTACTTCATAAGCTCCCTCTATAGGGTGTGTATGGTCCCGTTGTGTACAGCTAACAAAAAGTAGCTGTTCTTTGTCATGCAAAGCTTCCTCAGTTCTCAGAGACCCTGGGGTACCACAGAGAGATGCTTTCTTTCTCTGCACCTTCACTTCTATCATTGCCATTCATGCATTTGACCCTCTTATGAAGCCCTTTTTATCATATCAACTATGTGTTCTGCGTTATCTATCTTAACTTGTAGCTTTGTCTGTAAAATTTGTGTCGTTAGCCTGAGACATATGCAGATAAATTGCCTAGGTTCAGTATCCTCACACTTGGAACTAAATATTCTGCAGTGACCTGAACTGATGGATGCAGCTTTTCAGCAAAATTTATGTCTTTATGGTTGAATATAAATCTTTGAGTGCCTTGGTTTGCATTTTCATCATCATGTCTGGTTCTTGACCACTGATTTTCAAACTGCCTCATCTTTCAGAAAGCTGTGTATTAAGTGGAAAGACAAAGAAAACTGTTCTTCTTTACCCACTGCTCTTCTGTCCACTCATAATAGTAGGAATTGTGAGTGTAAGTTTCTGGACAGCTGTAAACAGTGGCAGCCCTGGTTAACAAGCTGATTACATTCCCAGAGCCTTGTGTATAGCCAGTGAGTGGCTAAGAACTTTGAATGTGTTAAATGAAAATATGCAAAATATTTAATAATGCAAATAATAAATGAGTTTAACCAAAACCTTCTTAGAGCCATGAAATTCCAGAAACATACTTTTATTTGTGTCTTAGAACAACCTCCCCCACATTCCACTGTGAGAAAATGTTCTGAGTTTTGCTTTGGAATCTTAAGAACCATAAGTATTTCATTCTTCACTTCAGAATCACCTTTCTCTACGCATGTATCCTGGAGTAATAATATTAACTAGGGTTCTTAGAAGCAGTGGAGACTGGATGAGGGATTTAAACAGAAATAATTTATTTAGAAGATATTGGGCAGGTTCTGGAACAACCAGAAACCAAGCAAAGGGCAGAAAGAAGTAGAGACACCACAGGCAAAGTCCTACAGTAGAGTAAGTTCCATATAAGAGCCGCCACTGAATAATAGAGATTGGTGTTCACATTGACTACCCCATTGTGATATTTGGTGCCAACTCTGTCACTTCTGCCTTGGCAGCCTCTGGGCACTTCCTTCCTTCACCATGGTCTCTTTTTTCTGCTGCTGCCTCTTTATGTTTCTAGCTATAGAGTCAGGGTTGGCCAAGGCTAAGTCATATGCCTATTGCCTTAGCTGCAAGGGACTCTGGGAAGATGAATGTCCAACCATTTTTGCTTCTATGTTGAAAAGTGTACCTCTCATTGAAACTCAACTGGTAAGAAAGTTCCCAGATACAGGAAAGGGGTTTAGATGTTAGACAGTACCTATCCTTCTCCCCTATATGGCTAAAACTCATCATTAGAAGCTGTAGTATGGGCTCTGGTAGAAAGGGAGGTGGCTGCAGTGGCCAAGATATTTATCCATCTGAAGTTGCAGTTAATGAACTGTGACAGTGAAGATGACCCATTCTTCCTTATGCACTGATGTCCAGAGACCCTTTTACCATGTGCTAACTAAAGCTAGGGTTGTGACACCATCACATTTTACTGATCTTAAAGTAATAAGATAAAATTCTTGGACTTAAAATTTAATACTTTGATTAGGAGGGACAAGTTAAGATTTATCTGTTGCCCTGTTTATGGTAAAAAAAAATGTAATTTCACATTATAAGTATGTCTTGTACAGTTGGATGGTCCCTTTTACCATGTGCTAACTAAAGCTAGGGTTGTGACACCATCACATTTTACTGATCTTAAAGGAATAAGATAAAATTCTTGGACTTAAAATTTAATACTTTGATTAGGAGGGACAAATTAAGATTTATCTGTTGCCCTGTTTATGGTTAAAAAATTGTAATTTCACATTATAAGTATGTCTTGTACAGTTGGATGATTTATATATTTCGTGTGCATGTGTGTGTGTGTTTGTGTTTTAAGATGAAGTCTTGCTATGTTATCCAGGCTGGTCTTGAACTCGTGGGCTCAAGTAATCCTCCTGTGTAGGCCTCCTGCGGAGTTGGGACTGTAGGTATGGACCACTGCGCCAGGTTGGTTTCTACACTTCTAAAAATTCAGGTTTTAATTACAGCAGTACATAAAGGTAGCTTGTACCTTCTTGCCCCACTTATTTGCATTGCTGTTACTTTTCTGAAGCAACTATTTTCAGCTCACTTAACTCTTCTGGTTTTTATTTCCATATAGCAGGTTGATAGGTTTATGTTGATATTTTTATTTTTTCAGTTTTAGGCATTAAACATTGAGTTCCTATTAAAGC